TTGCTTTTTGGTGTTCAGTCACCAATTGATAATGTCACACCACTTGATTCAGTGAAGAAAAAAAGAACAGCGTTGGTTTATCTATAGTTTTATTTACAATATACAGTATGTACATTGTTTGTTACACTTTAGTATCAAACTGTATGATCAAAGGTCCATTATATTCATGTTAACTGCTTGTTGGAAAGTCTGTCCTTGATAGTCGCTGGTCAGAGAAAAAATGTATAGTTCAAAATTTGCTTTTTGGCTTCTTTTTTTGCTTGCGCCCTCTGTTGGCCTGAATCAGCATATTGCCGATGGGTGCAACTTTTAACTACATCAGAGAAATAGCTTTTTTAACTTTAGCTTGGTTTCTCCAATGTAGAAACTGGGCATATCACGCATGCACGTTATTCTATATAAAACCCCTTCTAATTTATCTCTTTTTTATTTTTGGATCTACGAAGGTAGTCCCAGAAGTACCCGACCTAACAAAGAAGACAAAAAAATTTGGGAAACATATCTTTATTTTTCAACATAGTCTCCTTTTAGCTCAATACACTTTTCCCATTGCTGTTCAATAGCTTTGATCCCTTGTTTATATTGAGAACTGTTAAGCTTCTCAAAATAGCCATCAACCGCAGACTCTACCTCTTCATTGTTGGCAAATCTTTTATCACCAAGCCATTTTTTCAAATTTGGAAAGAGAAAATCCAAGGGGGGCTAAATCTGGCGAATAGGGTGCGTGAGGAAGCAATTTGAACCTTAACTCATTGATTTTGGCCATCGCAATAATGGATGTGTGAACTGGTGCATTGTCTTGATGAAACAACACTTTCTTTTTCATCAAATGTGGCCATTTTTCTTAATTTCATCAATCAAGCGCTGCAATAAGTTTGCATAATACTTACCGTCGATTGTTTTTCCTTTTTGAAGATAATCAATGAAAATTATCCCATGCGCATCCCAAAAAAACTGATGCCATGACCTTGCCAGCAGATGGAACTGTTTTCATATTCTTTGGAGCTGATTCTCCCCTTTCAGTCCATTGTTTTGACTGTTCTTTCGTCTCAGGTGTGAAGTGATAGACTTATGGTTCATCTATGATTATGAATCAACGCAAAAACTCGGCTTTGTTGCGGTGAAACATTGCCAAACACTCAATTGAAACATCCTTACGATGCTGTTTTTGTCCCATTGTGAGCAAACGCAGCACCCATCTTGTGCACAGCTTTCTCATGTCCAAATTTTCAGTCAAAATGCGATGTACAGCACTTTTTGAAATGCCTACTGTGTCTGCTAGCTCTCACACTTTGAGTCGATAGTCATTCAATACCATTTTGTGGATTTTTTTTTCACCATTTCTGGCATGGTCACCTCACTTGTTCATCCACTGTGATGTTCATCTTGGCAGCTTGTATGGCCTCATTTAAACTCTGCCACCCAATATTTTATTGTTGTAAACGAGGGAGCAGACTCCCCCAGAGTAGAATCTAGCTCAGCTTTAATATTGGTTGGACTGAAACCTTTCAAATAAAAGTATTGTATCACATAACGATGACCAATTTTTTCCATGTTTACAAATTCACTGAGATTGTTCACTATTGATGGCTGCCAAAAAAATACTAAACAATATAGTGTCTTCAAACTTCAAACTTAAGCTTTATAAGGTTGATACTTTAGAACATACTTGTTTTTTTCAAACAAGTACCGCAATTTATATGTCAGGTCGGGTGCTTCTGGGACGATCCTCGTATCACTGTTAACCTCAAAAACCTATTATTTTGAAAGGGAACAAATTTAATTTGTACATTATTCAACATTTTATTATCTTTCTCAAATAAACCTTTACTATACATACTTTTCTGTATATTAAAAGATTAAAGGAAATACAGTATGTAGGATACATACTATTTTATTTCCTTATTTTTTCTAACATTATACCTATTTCTTAAAAATTTTTCATACCATTGAAGTATCAATCTTGAGGGATATCTGTTCAATAAGTATTTCTTATTTATCTCCTTGACTTCATTTTTCAAAACATTACTGTTGGTTGTTGTTGTAAAAACTTCCTTAATTTCCATTAAATACACATTTTCTTTATGGTTTCTACAGCAATAAGATTTATAATGAATAAGTTTTTTTAGTATGCATTGTTTTTCAAACTTACAATATTCCAGGTGATCATTAAATCTAAATTTGAAAAATAATGCAATACTAAAAAGTTATTCATTTTAAATCCTATTGCTCTAGAAACCATAAAGAAAATGTATATTTAATGGAAATTAAGAAAGTTTTAACAACAACAACAACAACCAACAGTGATGTTTTGAAAAATGAAGTCAAGGAGATAAATAATGCTTTGCTATTTTATCTGTTATTAGTAGTTTTCCATCTTTGTTCATATCTATTATTTTACTAATATCTCTTAATTCTCCTCTTAAAAAAAGAAATTGACCTAATGTTATATCTTTTTTAAAATTTTAACTGTAAAATTACAAAATAATTTTATTGTTTATAGACTGAAGAGGGATCAGCAAGAATTCCAATCAGAAATACATTTAAATAAAATATCTGAGAATTAATCGTCTTCTGAGTAATTCTTGAACTCAGGTGGGCATCTGATTCAAAGGACATTACATTTCAATTTATTTATCCAAAAAAATCTCTTTTAAGTGGTTACAAAACAATGAGATTATAAGAAATTTATCTGAAAACTATGTGACCAAGGCATTATTAATTTTTTATAATGTAAGTTAGCAATATATTCTATAAAACAGAAACATTAAATATTTATAGCAAATTTATAATTATGTAAACAAATCTCATACATTTTTCCTTGATATTAAAATTAAAAAGTCATTAATTCATGCAAGAAATTACTCATAAGAATCTCAAATCAGAGCAATTAAGAAAATTTTCTTATCCATTTAGATTTTAAAAATTTCATAGTGTACTTTAAAAAATTATATACTGTATAATAAAAGTTAGAAATGAGCAAACATCACTTTCCTGAAATTCAAATATTAACCATAGCTCAAATATTTGAATATCTTGAACTCTCAAATACCTTAAATACTTAGTAAACTTAATTGCCTTATAAAACTTATTTAGTTAATAATTTATTTAATATTTATTATTTAACTTGTTTCATTTATTTCAATATATTAATAAATTAACAAAGTAAAATGAAAAGTGAAAATAAAAACAACTTACTAAACTTTGAAGTTTCATTTCTTAAAGTTTTAATTTTAAAAAAGTTTGAGTTTTAAAGTAGCTCAACTACAATAGATTAACAAATAATTGTTCTCATTCTCATCTGCTGCAGACTTTTGTTTAGGAAAACAAGAATTTGAAAATATTCAAGATCTAATCTGCTTCTTTTCCTGTCACAAATTAAATCAGAGATATTGAAAAGACACTGGCTGTACATAATGGCAGAACAAAGGGATACCATTGACAAAAAAATTAAACAACACATAATTTAAGATAAAAATAAGACAATTTCATGCTCTAATAATAAATTAAAACTTAAAAATAATAAATAAAAAATATAAATATTGTATTATAAAATGAAAATTGCATTTACCGGTCCCACACCATCAACTCTAACATCTTAAACATGGTCACCATAACTGTCACAAGTGTACCTCTTTCATGCTTTGCAATAACTTCATTTTTCATTTCAGTTACAGAAATAACCTTCCTTTTAAATTTTGTTGCTTCTACACACTTCTTGGATGCCATGGTTAATAAATAAGTTACATTGGACTAAATGGAAAGTTTGTGTGCAGTTTTAACAGCTAATATTACTTAACATAGTTGTATGATTTAATTGTAACAGTCATGAAATTTAACACATTACTGCTAACAATTCTTTGTTCAAGAAGCTTATTTTATACTATTTACTTTGTATTTTGTTTGAATAAAATGAAATGGAAATGTCTTCAGATAAAAGCATATCTGGCACGCTACTCTATGAATTTTGGAAAAAATATAATGTCATACAAACAGTAAAAGAGATTTGTGATATGTATGGGAAGATGCTCTTAAACTTTAAACTTGTCAAATGTGTAATAAGCCTGTTATATGTAACTAAGTAGTTTTGTAATTAAATAATATAGGCAAGAAGCTTTTTAATATATGTCAAATATGCTTTAAAAAGTTCTGTTCAGGAAATTTTCAACTAACAGATGAAACAACATACAGGGCATTCAAAAGATGTGAACAAAGAAAAACTGCAGGCAGAAATTGTTAAAAAAATCAACAAAAAACACAATATGTATAACCAAACATACCAAAAACAAAGCAAAAAAAGACTGAAAACATATGAGCATAACATGAGAGTAAGAAATGCACTCAAGCCGTACACGAAAGTAATTTTTTCAGTGCATGCACAGTTCAAACTCTAAAGCATCATTCAAAATCAGAGACAAACTTATGTCAAAATTTTGCATTTTAACTCTGAAACATTCAAAGTTAGTCATTTGAAGTATGAGGTACAGTACCACTATATTTATACACTTTTAATTTTGAGTTAGTCCCTCTTCCTTAGTACTTCTGTATCTGCCATTATGACCATGATATTGGGAGTATTCATAGTATTTAAATTTATTTTCTTATCAACATAATATTTGAAATCAAATATTTTCTAATACAGTAGAGCATCAATTATCCAAATATCAATCAACCGAAACATCAATTAACCGAAAGCTTTCCAGTTGGCAAATTTAAATTTCCGCTAGTGCTGTGGTGCTTCAATCTTTGGCTATGTCTTGGGCTACTCTAATATTATTTTTGTTGGTGTGTGTGTTTTAGATAGCAGCACTGGCGCGACCATGAGAGGGTACTTAAGGATTTGAAAAAATTTCAACATGGGATTGGTTAATATATTTTTTCACACATAATTGGTTATCTGAAAAATCAATTTTCCAAATAACCCCAGTCACTAATTGATTCTGATAATTGATGCTCTACTGTATTTAAATATTCACCCATGTGTAAAAATTAAAACTCACTTTCTTTTCATATGCTTGAATAGTTTTTTTCCTCCCTGTTTTCTTTTTATCTTTTTCATCATCAAATTTATCAACTACTTCATGTTTATATTTATCAATATTGTCTCCAATAGGTAGTAAATTTTCATCTAATTCACCTATAAAATTAAAAAAATAATGTTATTTTCTTAAAAATTCCCACCAAACGAATGTATTTAAAATATATATTAAGGATTAAACTTTCTCACTCTTATTAACAATAAACAGTAGCATCCATTTATATTAAAACTAATAAATTTCAGATAGTATAGAAACCAAACTTTTTTCAATAAAAAATTTTAAAATCTTAAATAGTAATTATAACATATAAACAACTTACTCATTAAAGAGTCTTACAGTTTTTTCTGTGATAATGAATACATTATTTATTATATGTTATAACTAGTTCTATGCTGCTGGCTCAAAGTCTATTTTATTAGCAGATATGCTTTTAAATTTTACTGTATTTTCACTGAATAACCATCATGCCAGTCTATTCAAGGAGACTAAGAAATCAGATATTTCCATATGATAAAAGCTGGCATGCTGGTTTAAGTAAAGTTATACATCCCTCTCTAGAGCAGTATTTCTTAACAGAGGAGCCACGGCCCCCTGGGGGTCCATAAAAAGTTTGCCAGGGAATGCCAAATTATGTAAAATTTATGCATATTTGTGTGAGAAAGGGTTCTCAACTATGGTGGATATAAAAACAAAAAAACGCAATTGATTGCGATTAGATGTCTGCATGCAGATAGCATCACAAACAATTGAACCAAGAATTAACAAATTAGTTGAGGATATTCAACAGCAGAAATCTCATTAAATTATTTTTGAAATTTGTTTTTTCTATGAATTTTTAAATGTTTCTTATTTTATTTTTTGTTAAAAATTAATGAGTTTTTATGTTTAATTGTGAAATTTGAATGTTATTTAAATAGATAATGAAATAATAGTTATGTTTTACATTTATTATATAAAAAAATAAAGCAATAATAAAAAAATCGATTTATTATAGATAATTTAACAAATATAAATTATTATTAAAAAAATGGGAGTCACAAAAAAATTATGAAATATTTGGTGGGCTGTGAGTATAAAAAGGTTAAGAACCACTGCTCTAGAGGGTGCATTAAAAAAACGAGTTATGTCACATAAAAAAGAACATGTTTTTATTCTAAAACTGTGAAACTGTCAGCATTACATCAAAAACTATGATTATATGTTTAATTTCTTCATTTTGTCTTCTTTCTAACAACGTAAACTACTGGTGGAATTCTGAAAGTGCTTTTCTTGTGTGCACTTTATTGTTATTTGATTCAAAAAGGTACAAATAAACATATTAAATTTAAGAAACTGGCTGTAAATTATCTCAGCTTAGACCCATTAACATCAGCTTTGTGTGAAATTTATGAGGAAGGTGTTATTTTTAAGGTCAGGGCAGATGGTCAGTATAGCACACACTAACTACTATTACCACCACTACTGTCAATAAGTCGTTAATTGTTTTATTGTCTTAAAATCAGGAAGAGAATTTTGGTGTACAAGTATGTCAAATTACAATGTTGTTATTTTACTGTACTCTAAGAATGTTTTCTTTAACGTTTAGTTAACAACTAGTTTTGTTAATCTAATTAATTTTATATTTTAGATGCAGTTTAACCAGCATGCTGGTCTCCCGTTTTTATGCAGCATGTTGGTCATTCCGAGAAAATACTGTAATTTCTTAAGCCCACTATAGATAAATTGCATTCACAGAACAAAGTTAAGTTTTTGATAATTTATAACAACATTTAAATAAATATTTTAAAAAATATTTCTACTTTTCGTTACTACTTTCTGATATCTCATATTTTTTATATAAAAATTATGATTATAATTACTTATAAAAATTATAATGAGATTACTACAGTCGATTTCAATGCAAAATCTTCAATATTATCAAACTACAAACTAGTTTTATGCAAGTAACCAAAACTTTATTACTGTTACATAGAGATTTTATGCGTCGAACCTGTCTTTCTCAAATCTCATGGGAATGACAAAATACTTCAAGATAGTCAGATTTAGAGACAGAGGTTTGTATGCAGTAAACAGTAATAGGTTTGATTCAAGCTATGGTATTTTGTTAATACAATGGCATGTACAGTACATACCTGTAATAAGTAAAAATAAAATGTTTTTGACATCCATGAGCAGTAGTAGTTGGTCTTTGATTTCTGATACCTGACTTTTTTGACTGGGCAATTTTTTTTAAGGTAAGCAATAGCCACAAATGCATTCTGACTAATATCTTCCTGACATTCAAGAAAAGCTCTCAACATTTCAAATGACCGTTTCAGTTTCTTTTGTGGTAATAACTTTAGGTGAATCTATCTGATCCTCTAGTTTGTTGTTGTCAGAAACTCCTCTCGCAATTTCCATAATCTCTATCTGTCAACATCATGTTAACAGGGAATCATCCAGGTCCAAAAAGTCTTCAAATGAAATGTCTAGAGTAAGTCTATTCTTAATGATTATGCACTCTTCTGAATTACTCATTGGTTTCTGTCTTTCACTGTGTCAATGGTGTTTTGTTGTTCCTCTTCCTTGTTTCTTTGCTTAATTTAAACCCTGTTTTTAGAAAACTGTTCTTGATTGTCTTTTCTGTAACATTCCTCCAAGTATAGTTTATCATCCTCAAAGTATCCAAAACATTGACAGTGGAAAGGGTATTGCCATCATCAATGGCATCTAGAAGTTTTCAAACCAGTTTTCTTCTATATCTCACTTTGAAACTTTGAATGATCCCTTGATCAAAGGGTTGCAGCTTAGATGTGCTATGTAGAGGTAAAAACCTTATATTGATATGTTTTAGAGTATGGAGATTGAAATGAGCATTGCAGTTATCAATAAAAAGAAGAATTTTTCTTTCTTTTTTTTTAAACTCATAGATTTGTCAATTCCTTTCAATCAGACACTGAAGATTTCACTTGTCATCCAAGCTTTCTGGTTTGCTTTGTATGTTATAGGAAATTATTCCACTTTTGATAAACATCTGGACTTTGAGAACAACAAATCATCAGTGGTGGAAGTTTTTCATTTCTAGTTTGATTAATTTGATTAACTGCTAATAGTAAGTCACATCACAACTTCATTCTTTCTGATCTGAAGATTTCTGTCCAATAATTTAAGATTTTCATTTATTCTCCAATTGAAAGAACATTCAACTTTCTTTTCACACCAGCCATTTGCTTCTTTTAATGTTGCAATCATGAACTTAAATAATGTCAAAAAACCATTGGTCAAGAAAAGGCCGATAAAATCCATTATAACACATCACTTGGAATAACAGCAATAAGATGCAAGTCAAACTTGTAGCCAATCAGAGAAAAGCAGTTTTAATTGCAACTATGTACTGTATTGCAAGAGTTGTTTCTCAACTACAATTTTTGCTATCAAGATGTAGTCACTGAGCTTTGAATTTGACATTGACACTTCAGTCCATAATTCGAGATACAGAGGTTTTGGGAGAAAATTATTTAAGATACACATGCACAATATATTGAATTTAGGTTGCAAATGCAGGGAAAAAAATAAATTTCAAGATAAACAGGTTTTAAATCTTGTCAACAGATGGTGCTAGGAGTTATGCTACCTAACCAAAGATCTATGGCCATAGGAAATATGAAATGACATGTTTAAAATAAAGGTAAACAAACAAATGTATAATATAGAATATTCACACCTTTCTCACATTTTCCAGCAGTAACTGTTTAATAGACAAACACTTTCAGCCACATTCAGGGGTCTGCATCAGGTTAAGCATGTACAAAATCAAATGTCTATAGTGAGTGTGAAGTTTGAAACAGTGCCAACTTTCTTTGAATTCATTATTTTTGAAACCAGTATCTTATATATTTATGTAAATATTATTAGTTTTAAGAAAATAAATAATATATTAACTATTATTAATTGCCATGCCATGGATATGGATATAAATTCTTTACTATTAATGCAACCTCTTTTAATTAAGTGTTATGGCAAATATCTCAAACACCTCTGTTTATACATATATAAGAAAAGAAAGAAATGAAAGACTAACCTTTACAATTAACAATAAGAACTTTAATTTAATCCATATTAATCCACATTAATTTAATAATAATCCACATTTTTTTCCCTATCTTGCTAGCATTTCCAGATACAAAAAAAATTTAAGTACTGCCAATATTACCCAACATTTCCATCTACCTTGAAGCACAATCTTCAACATACCTATGCAGTTGGAATAGTTTAACAATGGACTGCTTGATAATACCCAAAGCAGTCTTCACAGTGACTACTCCCACCTCGTTGTCACTAACCAGATGTACTGCAATAACCCTACCCTTTGGCCACTTCAAAGAGGGAGTGTTTTCACCTTTGATTAGGACCAAGTCCCCAACTTCAACGTTGTCCTTTTCATTGGTCCATCTAGTGCATTTATATAATTGTGTCAGATATTCACACTGCCATCATCGCAAAACTGCTCTGAAATCTGTTGAACGATTTGTCATCTGCTCAGCCAATTGATCTTAATTAAACTGAAGCTGTTCTGAACTCAAGGCAATTGGTTGCATTGTTGTGATCTCCAGGCCTTAACTCCTGGTCATTTCCTCACCAATGAAGTATAGTAATCAATAATAGATAACCCATTAAAAAAGCACAGCAACCAATAATACACATAATAATATTACTTTAAATTTCAAGATACTTTTATTTTTTATTCTTCATAACATCTCACCAACTGCAGGTCTTCCCTATCAAATTAGTTTGCATTCCTCCTTACTCAGCACCATGCTTTATTTGTAAAAGAATAAACAAAGATCAACATAACTCCTATGGTTCCAGACTTGTGGAACATCCTAGATATCATTATATATAATAATACGTATTTATATTTATATAATATAATTATATAAAATAAATAAACAAATAAAACAGCTTTGTTTTCTATGTTTTATTTGTTTATTTACTTAAATATGTAAAATATTTGAAAACAGTGAATTCCATTTTGGAACATTTATAATATTAAACCTGATGATGGCCTATATTAGATAGGTTAAAAATGTTTGTAAAAATAAAAGAATTTTAAGCTCAG